TTCCCTGAAGTTTTCATAACTACATTAATGAAATCCTACTGATATTAAGACTTGGGGTTTCCTTTCTGATATATTTATTTCCTCATTTTTCAGTGATATATTTTCCCACTTTTGCGATTATAGTTAAATCATTAAATGGATTTAGGGGGTTCATTTCTGAAGGTATATCAAGCGTTTATAGCTTGCAACCACAGTCTTGCACTGATGTAATACAGCATGCATCTGTGTAGTAAATTATTCCTGATCAACTTGTTTGCATTTTAACTAAAAGAAATTCTATTTGGTTTAGTTAAGATTTGTATAACTTTCAGATATTCAACCAATATAATAAAAATAATATTACATTGACGAAGAAATTCCTTAGGTGGCAGGTACCACAGTTTACAGATTCTTTCTTTACATCATGATCACCAAATTTATAATAACTGAAAACTGTTGGTCTTCTTGTATGCAGTCATTGCATTTCACAATTTATGGAAAGGTTTTAATTCTCTGATTTTGTCCTTCGACTACAGAGTCCAGCTGAGGATTTGGTAGTAGAGGGACATTATTATGATTCACTGCAAAATACAGTAATAAACACAAACCTCTTAAAATGCAGTATCTTGTTGGCATGAATGTTCAGAGAGTTGGCTAAAACCCTATATTTAGCTCTAAACCATTTTTTTTTCCAGACAATTAGTAGGAAAAGCATTTCAATAGAACTAAAAATTTCTTATGTGGCTTTATTATCCGCTACAAATTCAGGGAAGGAAAGAAAAGGAGGATTATTTGGAAACAGACCTATGATGGTTTGGGGGGGGTGGTGATGGTATTTGCTGTGACAGGATTTTCATGGTGAAACTAAAATATAAACCCTCAAACAGATTTTTAAAGCCATATTTTTACACCTATAAATCTGCATGTACACAAAGTAGGCTCAAGTGTTAGACAACCCCACCTTTACAAAGGAAGAAGTAAACAAATCCCAACCAAATATAGGGATTTTGTAACTTTCTTTGTATTTTAATATGCCTTAAGAGGCTCCAGGTTAGATTTCAACATGGCTACATACTGCTGCTGCAGCAGTGTCAACCATCATTGTGTGCCCCTGTGCTCCTGCAGCTTTTGAAATGACCAGAAACTGCCAACTGTCTTGGTTTTAATCTGTAAACACTGTAAACACAGAATCAGTCACTAAAATCACTAAATCAATGCCTTCATGGAACTCTGAGAACAGAGGATGCAATCCTGACCAAGTCAATCCATAGCAAATGGAAAGGAATAGCAACACGAATAAAATGAGGAAAGTATATGAAGTGATTTGAAAAGTTTAGGTAAAACTGCCTGTAGTTCAGCAACTGTGCATTTTTAAGGGGTAACTTTTTCAGTGTTGCAAATTTCCTTTGAATTAATAACAATACAAGATAGTTTCATTTTCTATTAAAACTAAATAAAAAGTAAAGTTTAAACATAGTATTTTCATATTACTTTTTGGGTAATGAACAGTGAACGATTCTCTCTTCACCTCACCAGCTGAAGTATCTAGTGACTCTAATGAAGTAAACAGAGATACACTAGACACAACTGATACAAATTTCAGGAGAATTAGTCCCAAAATACTGTTACTTCTATTGAGGGCAAAAATCATTCTCTCCACTTTCCAAACAGGAAAACTGGCCAGAATACTTCACAGTCAAACATAAAAAAAAAAAAGAAAAAATACCCAGACTCTATAGATTATTTTCATTTCTTCTGAACAGAAGCCAGACAAATGGAACACATACATATTTGCAAATAATCTTCTAAGCAAAATATACTCCTTTTTTTTTTTTTTTTTTTTTAACATCCCTAATACTTTCTGTACCCTTACTCTGAACCTCTGTGGTGACTCATGATGTATGCATAAGGTATTTACAAACCTAAAATATTGTGTATACAAAGCAGTGCCATACCTGCAGAGTAATCTATATGGGAAATGTAGCTAATAGTGTTCAAAACAGTAAATTCATTACAAGTTAACATTAAAAGTATTATTGCAATTATTGCAGAAGAATAGGTGGGAATGTTAGAACTTAGTAAAGTGTCATAATGGTTTTATACTCACTATCCAAAGTAAGCAAACTTCTGAAGTACTTATTATACCTGCTGGCACTACGAGAACACTGCCACTGCGTGCTATGGCACATGTCTTAGGTGGAAGGAATATATTATTTGATACACATTGTAATTCCACAAAGAATGAGTGCTGTTTATTTTAATAATCTAGAATATTTTCTATTCCAGACATTGCATCTGTCGACACTTATTTATTATAAACTAATCAATAAACCCTGCCTGCCAAGAGCGCTGGGTACCTTGGACAGCTCCAGCCGCACCCTGAGGGTGATGGAGCAGCAACACATCAGGACAATTCAAGACAGATGTTGGTTTCTAACAGACCTTTCTGCTTTCAGTTTATAGCAGCATTGGATTGTTATTTCCAAATATGTAACTATGTTTGTCATCCTAAATTGTTCATAAATGGAGTCTACCTACTAGGGTAGCAGACAGAAAGATGTCAAACGTGTCTGGCTAAACTGAGCTTTCCCCCATAAATACACAAGTTGTCCCACCAGTGTGAGGAGAATGTGGTTCTTGTGTATTCTTTCAAGCTTACCATTACACAATGGGGAGAAGAAAGGCAAGGAAAAAATTCAGAGTATGTATGATGTGCTAAACTACACATCTAATGATGCAATGTTACCATTGTGCTGTAATGGCTTCTTCTTTTTAAAAAACTTTAAATGAAATGTTTCTGTAGTGTGAAGTCCTTAGAAATTATTCATTCCTTTTATTAAAGAAAGTGTTTATAGTGCTAATCTAAGTTTGAACACAACCATGTTTTCCCCAGTTACACCTCTTGTTTCTAAATCTTCAGTTTTAGACTTTCCTCTGTAGTTACCAAATATTTTAAAAGATAAAAGGATGTATGTGAAGAAATGTATTGTATCAAAATAAGTGAATTAAGGTCCCTGTAATTCATGGTCAGGTAAGATGGACCATCACCAAATGAAGCAAGAATTGTTTCTAAAAGCAGTTTTTGCTCATTGATAGGCATATTTTGTGTGCTTTCCAGTTATGCTGAAACACTGTTATTTGACACTGTTGTTTCCTCTCTTACAGAGTCGAATGGCAGAAAGTTTGCGACTCTTTGATTCCATCTGCAACAACAATTGGTTTATCAACACCTCCCTCATTCTTTTTTTGAATAAGAAAGATCTGCTGGCAGAAAAAATCCGACGCATCCCTTTAACAGTCTGCTTTCCTGAATACAAAGGCCAAAACACTTATGAGGAGGCAGCAGTCTACATCCAGCGCCAGTTTGAGGACTTAAATCGCAACAAGGAGACCAAGGAGATCTACTCACACTTTACCTGCGCCACTGATACCAGTAACATACAATTTGTCTTTGATGCAGTGACAGATGTCATCATCCAGAACAATCTCAAATATATTGGCCTCTGCTAAGAATCCTTGGGCTTAATCTGTTTTATTGAAGTGATAAAAAAGGGGCTAACCACTGCCACTTCTCATTTAAAAAAATGGGGCAATGCTTAGTAGCCCAAGGAGAGAAAAGGGGAAATCTGATGTATGTACGCAGTTCCTCCTATGTCCCCTTAACCTGCTACATCATTTTTCACAAATATATGTTCTGGAGAGAGAAAGCCTCCTCTCCAAAAACCCCACACAGTTCCCCCCTACCTAGTGAAAAAAAAACCCGAACTAAAACAAAGAAAGAGATTGAGGCCTAACTCTGTGGGTACTTTTTCACCACAGTCACTGCACTTTTATTCCATTTATTTCATTCCATTTCCTACAGTGGGAGTGTTATCATATTCTATGTAAGAAATAATTCTTCATCCAGTTGTCCTAAAATTTTACTGACACAAAGATAAAAAGCTGGTGAGTGACAGATGAACTTGTTTGCAGGGTATAGAGCAGAATGGTTGTGTTGGGGAGAAAAGCTAGTTCAAAGCAGAGGCTACAGAACAGGCAAGTTTTAGCAAAATACTACTTAAATTTGTAGAGAATGGGCATGCACCCACAATACTGGTACACACAAACAGTATATACATATACATCATGTGTGCACGTGACTCACAGCACATACTACGTACACATTTCTGCTTTACTTTACTGTTTATCACCTTGCCTTTTAAAGGAATTGTTGGTGTGCAACTGTTGTGTGATTTCCAACCTGACAAGCAGCTTGTTCTGCTCTTGAAGACTTCAAATATGCAGCAAAACTACATAAAATTAATCTATGAATAGGCCAAATTAAGGTCAGTGTTTCTTCTACTAGAAAGGAGTTTTATACATCAAACCAGTCTTCTTTTACATCTTTTTTTTGCCAAATCTTGTGGTGTTTCACAAAAACCAAACTATATTTAAGTAGGTTAGTGTTCCTTTTTTAATACAGATAAAAAAAAAAATAAATCACAAGGCAATTTTTAAAATTGTTGTTGTAGTGTCTGGATTGCTAAATGTGAAAGTTGCCAACGGACAGTTCTGTTCCACTGCTCCAAATACGTTCTGGGAATTGTAATATTGTAACAGATTTCCCAAGAAGCAGGAGCTATGGAGATTGTGTAGTATATAGCCTCCAAAGTCTTTTTTTGTTGCTTTGTTTTTGGTTTTGTTTTTTTTTTTTTTTTTAAATCATTTAAAAAATGTGCTGTATTATTAGAAGGTTAAAGATGAGCGATATGAACAATAGCTAAATGTCTTGATATTTCAATTTAATAATTTAAATTATTTACAGTTTAGTGAAGTTAAGGAAACTGAAGAGATGCATTCCTCAGCTCCAGGTTTCATCTCATAAAGAAACACTACTGGATGAATTAACATTCTGGCAAAAGTTTGAATGCGTAAGAAGCTCTGTGGGACTATACTGGAAAATCTCAAATGGATCATAGAGACCTAAGTCTTTGGTCAGTTGATTCTTCCCCCTGCCATAGAAAAGACTTCTTAAAGACTTCAGTGTAAAGTTGGTGTGTAAATATATGTTTGATAATTGTAAAGCGCATACGTACACAGAGACACAGACACACATGCACACTGGAAAACAACCTACTTTTGTTCCCCCTATATATTATGATTAGGGCAAGAAATCTCAGCCAAGGGCTCTAAGAAATTTCAAACAAAATGGTTAATAACATCAACATTTAAATTGTCCACTTAAAAAAAATAAATAAATCAAATGATACTGAATGTGTCTCTAGTGTGGTCATTACTGAGTGCTATGACAGTTACTTAACTGGATAATGCTTGTGAAGTTTTGTTTATTTGCTCCAGATCTTCTTCCCCAGTTTACTCATCAACATTCCGATATATCAATCTTTAGCAATTACAACTGAGCAACTCAGTAAGAGTTAAGGGGTGTGTGTTCCCATTTATTATCTTTATAAAATCTGAATGAGTTTTATTATTATCAATACAAAAACCTGTCTGGCTCATGCTTGTGAAAAATCAGGCTCTGAGAAATATCTAAGTATTTTTTTAAATTATCGTATCAGGTGATCTATCAGCATAATTCTTAATGATGATTTTTCATTGTTTTGGTGAAAATTCCATCCATTCAGAGTATAACAAGGTCCTTCTAGAAAATCCTCTTATTGAAACCTTTAAAATTTTGGATGTACGTTAAGAAAAGGGACAACTCTTGTACAAACAGCATAAACTCATAAAAATCACTTCTTAGAGGATGCTAGATAAATAACATACCTGAAGTTTAAACAGAATTTGACTTAGAACCCTTCATCCGATTAATCATTTCTGAGACCAGCTGAAAAGATTTGATGGTGCTTGGATAGTTTCATTGCTTTGATTACTTCTCAGCATTTCTACAAAATGCATCAAAAAGCCCTTTCTTACCTTACATGTAAGAATCCTTCTTTTGACCTGTTTGAGGACATCTAAATTCAAGCTAGGATTTTTCTATGTGACCTTTGGACTTAAGCTGATGATGAGCTGGGTGGGACTGCCAAGAGAACTGCAATACTCTTGAAGGCAGTGGTTTAAGGAATAATAATTTTCAACCTTGCTTTTCAACCAGAATACTCTCTGAGGCTCAAGTCATGAGTTAAGACTTATAAAACTCTTCAGTCTAGACATAATTAATAATGGGGGTGAAATATGTCTAATTTTGACCAAGGTATTTCATCCCTGTGTTGAAGACAGGAGCCCTTTAAGCATTCCCTGTAAACTGTTACAGCTGAATAGAGGCAAGAGAGCCAATGAGGCTGCACCTTGAAGGGATAAAAGGTTTGTTATGCCCACCAGGGAGCATTTAGGTTTTGCTTGTAAGGAGAAGATACTATTGCCTGCTTGTGATATTTACAGTTGTGCTGCTTGACTATCCATGCTATCCATGGTAATTGCCAGTACTGTCCATAGAGCTAGTACAGGATCCTCTAAACTTTGTTTACCATCAAAATGCTCTCTTTTACTTGAGAATTTGTGCAGTATTTCTATCTGAACTGCTTTCTATAATGTAATATCCTATTATGAGCCAGTTGAATTGTGAAAAAGGTATAAAATGAGTCAGGGCTTCCTTTCCCAACGAGTGGATTATTAAATGTATTGCCTCTTCACCTCTACCTTTCATGGTACTGTGACCATTTCAGACTAGTAACAGAAGTGACAAGAAGACACCGCTGTTCATTGCATCATAGTTTCAAGGTAAGAAAGCCTGATAGGAAAATTAAAACAAAAAGTGTAGTCAGTCATGAGGAGGATAAAAAACATTTTATATTAAAAAATAATTCTTTATTCAACTAAGAAAGTCCTTCCAACATTAAGTATTACAAGCAACCTACAGTAGAAGTAAAGAACCTAGGGTATTTTAACAAAGGGCTAAGGGTATTTCTAAATAAAAGCAGTCACACTGCTCATTGAATAACGCTATCTTGGGAAGAAGAAAAGAATTTGAAGCAATGCCATGTGTTCCTATCTGGCTTGAGAAAAGCATTGGCATAGAGAGGAATGAAGCAGTAAATAATGAAATAAATCACATAATAATGTTCTCTGACTAGCAATTCCTTGCTATAAACTCTCTAACCATTTAATTCCTGTGATGTTTTTGATCTTGGTATTCTGAGGAACTCTTACTTTATTTTCTATCTGAAAGAATTCAAGATGTCAAATAACCCTATTTTCTGATTGTGTAAGAAAACTGAGGCACAGGGAAGTTAAAACTAAAAAGGCTAGGCCAAAGACAGGTGCTGAAGTGAAATCACTTGACTCTTAGTCATCTGTCTGGATAAATCATGCAATTAAATTTGCATCTATTTTCTCAGTTCTCAGGTTTATCAGTGATGCAGTGCACTGCTACCCGAAAGAACTGCATTAATACAGCTGGGATTTCACTTCACCTGGGCAACAATGACATTCACAGAAGAGATGTTCCATCTGCTGCAGTAAGAATGCCATCTGTCCTTTCATCATTTGCACTCTGTACAGCAAAACAAGTTTTAAAGGGAATAAAGTATCCTTAAACAGTCCTTATCCACAGATTTGATTGGTTACGATTTTCCAAGGATGGAATAGTCAGTAAAGTATGAGAAATATCTGTTGTATTCTGAGTCTTCCCAAATAGGGGTTCTGGCAAGCTTGAAAATCCATTGCCCCATCCAATCAACCTCAATCTTTGTCTAAAAGGATTGAGTACTTGTAGAAGACAGGCTAGGTAATAGGTAAAAATTATTAAACTTTTCCGATATTAACCAGTGAAATATTCTTTTCCTAAAACTATTTTTGCTGCTATTGCCATTTATAATTGCATAGCACCCTTTCGCTAATATTGTGAAGTAGTGTGTGTCAAGTTTTGCTATTAGTTTTTCCAATGTTCTTAAGTTTTCTCCCACTGCTGGTTCTTCTCCCTCTTCTATCCTCATATATATCCGTTTTATTTTTATTGTTCTTCTGCCCATTAATTCTTGCCACTAAGTTTTTGTTCCTTCTGGAAAATTACTCCTTGGTGTTCTCCCAGTCTTTGTGGATTTTCCCACCTTTTGGGTTTTAATGATCCCACTGTTCCTGAAAGATACTGGTATACATACTTAAATTATAGTCTGCAAGTGGATTTGATTAAAATAACCACATTTTCCTAAATTACTCATATTTGGAGAAATACCAGGTGACCTGGTATAGAGCTAACTGGAGTCACTGACCACATCCCAGCTAACAAAAGCAACTACATTTCATGCCAAATACATGTAAAACTTATGTTCCTTTTTGTCTAGTGTGGAACATACTGCATTCTTGGCCCTGTAAATCACCTCAGCTCTAGAAAACATCAGAAATTTAGCTGGGTTATGGTATATTATTGCTGACTTCCCCCGGCTAACACAAGGTACACCTTATCTCATTATTTGGATGTGAGGTATAGAAGTAAATGCAGAAAAGAAGACAGTTTCTTGGCTAGCTGAAGAAGTCTGAATTACCAGGCAGAGACTATTTCTGTATCTGTAATATGTCAAATGAAATATGTCAGGCCTTGTGACTCTTACTACCTATCGGAAAATATTTGCCGTTCTCCCTGATAATTCCCCAGATTGTCTCACAGCAAAGAAAACAGTTTTACCACGTTTCTGTTTTTCTTGTAAGCAGCATTCTGTATGTGAGTCCATTCTATGGTAACTCAATTCTACTCACGGAGTTATCTTCCAACCCTTAAATACAGGCATGTATGTTTTTATATATAGGTTATATTTTTATCTAAATTAAAAAATACATTGCTCATAAAAACTTCTTTTTCCAAGAGTAGTTACTCAGAGATGCTTTCACAGACGATGTGCTACCACAGCTTCTACACCACTGATCTTACAGGCTGTATATACATGACAGGCTGAGGATAGCAGGTTTTCACACACCCACCCCCAAACTGTCAAAAAGGACATTGTATAAAAATCTGGTTTGTAGAAAGCTATGCAAGACTATTCTAATCTAGTCAAGGACTTCTATCCTGAACAAGTCTTGGATGATTTTAATAGTACAAACATTGACAGAAGAAATGGCCAAAATTTGGCATCATTTCATAGTTGAAGAAATTAAGTTTTGGAAATTCCACCTAGAAAGGTATGACTCAAGCAAGCTATAAAGGGACTGCTAGACACATCATGCTCTCTGAGAGATTTGAATTTAGGATCAGATAAATTCTGCTTGTTTCACAGATGTAAACAGTTCCTCTACATTCAGTTTTATTTTCTTATAAATAGAAGAGAGGGAGGGGAAAATAGGGAAGAAGTTCGCCTACATGCATATAGCGCATGAGCATGGCAAAATGCTGAGAATTAATGAAGGGGCAAAAAGTTATTCAAAACAGACATAAATACCAGATTTCTAATACAGTAATTCCCCTTAAGTTTAAAAGGAAATTGCAATTAAGACACTGATGCACAGAATTTACCAAATAACTGATTTTACAATTGTTTAAATGTCTTCTTTTCTTACTACTAATTACCTTTTTCTGCTTTTTGGAGACGAAACTCCAGAACCATTCCCTGAAACAAGTCTTGGTGTTAATTTGATTTGGAAAACCTGATTCTTATCTGACATGCGTACCTGAAGTGGGAGAAGTAAAAGGAAGAAACTGGTATTGCTCTTAGCTCAAAAGAAGCCTGGTTGAAAAGCAACTACCACTCAGAGAACTGTAGCTTTTCTTGTAAGTATAGGTAACTTTTGCTAAATTGGGACTGCTACAAGATTTGGAAGCTGCTTTTTGTCTGGTGGAGGCTCCTGCTCGCTTCAGAGCTGCTGTGAACCCTTTGCCTTCAAAGGCAAGGTTTTGAGGAGAGAAACTGCTGCAGCTGGCTCTCAACTTCAGCTTGGCAGTGGTTGGATAATCCACTCCAGGAGACAACTTGTTTTCTCCTTGTATAGTATAATCTCACACTTCCTGACTATCACCATACTGGTTTTACAGTTGTGACAGTTCCCATCAGTGGCTCCTGACCCAAGAGGATGTATTCAGATGCCTGAAGAGACAAAGATGGAGCAATAGGGGCAGGCCTGCATGGCATATCCTCTGGTTTGGGCAGTGTATTTTGATTTATGTAGAATTCTTAATATGCAATACTTTATGTTTTGGCACAGTAAGAGCTAGCATTGCTTACTGTTACAGTAAGTCTCTAACTAGAAAAAATGGTTCTAATAAAATGCTTTCTATATAACCCTCAATTTAGTTCCTACTTTTTAGAAAGTGTCTAACTGCAAACATTGGCGGAGGGGGAAATATAAAAAATGCCCTCACATCTTCTCAGAGCCACATGTGGATAGTTTTCATAAAGATTGTTTTTTCCCCCACCCCTAACTTTTATTAATCCTCCAGTGAATATTTTCTGATTATGTAGCTAAACTTCCAGCCTACTTAGTAAATGCTCCGAGGATGGTGAGATAGAATCTAAAAGCAGGCAGGTGTTTACATTTAATATTAGTTGTAGTTTCCATCAAATTTGTATTTAAAATGGTACAGCAGCCACCAAACTCTAAGGTAGTTTCCCTGTCTAAACTGAAACCTTTACAGTCAACTTAGATGTGTGAATGATGCACACATCTGAAAACTCCCAACAGCAAAAGCACACAAGTGTTAAATTCCTGTATTAGCCTACTAGAGATCTAGCCACATCTGAAGGTTAGAGTTAGTAATAAAGATCAGTACAGCAGGGGCTGACCAGCAAGGCTTGTTACTGAGTTATGCAGCTCCCAAATGGTTAAGAAGGTGGCCTTAGCCAATATCAGTGAACAGTTAATGGTTAATTGTGATCTGCAAAAATTTGGCAACGTTTATTTACTTCTATTATGATCCACATGTTCACAGGACAGTATCTATCTGCCTACACAGGTAAGAATTGATGTCTGTCTGCCTACACAGGACAGAATTGTTTAAAGGTAGTCAGGTCAAAATGGACGTAAGCCAGGTCCTGGCCTCATTTGATTTGACGATCTGTAAAATTGCTATAGAACTTAACTGGTTTTTTTTATAGTGATGGTCACAAAGTTGTTCAGTCCACTGTATTTACATCTTTCATAAGGATTCAATTATTTAGAACTTTAGAAAGGGTTGTATGCATGTAAGAATACATTTTTTTTTTTTTTTTTGAATTCACGTATATTCACTCAGCAAGACTTCGAGTATTCATTTAATTCTTTTCTTAAGCTCCAGGAATTTATCAGACAAGGTACTTTCCCATGAATTTAAATAGTATAGCTTTCCAATTGATAATTTCTACCTACTGAAATTTTAAATTTTAAAATTATAATTTTCATCAACTGGAAAAGGTTAAGACTAATGCTCAAATTAGAAAACTATTGAAATTATAGTCATAAAATCTGGAAATAAAAGTAACAAGCCAGCATAAATTCCCTTAGTGCATAAAATATTTAGAAAACTATAAATATACATAATAAAGAAAATATGTAAAAGGTACAAAAACCAATTCTTCTGACAAGTCAAAGACAAATTCTCAGCTTGGATTTCTCTATTTAGACTGAATCATTTAAAACCTAGATGCCTAATTCCGATATAATTAACTCTTCTGGTTATCTCACTGAAGATAAATGGACATCACCAGAGCAGAACTCATCTCATCCTAAGCATCTATATGTCAGACTTTTTATGCCTTTAGATACTGATTTTTCCGCTGCTGTGCAGGAAGTGTAGGATGACTAGCTCAATTTGACATCTAAAGTTGATTGTAATTGATCACATTTTTAACTTCATACCTTACCAAGATAAACTAAAAATTTTATAGTATTATAATAAGGACAAACAATATTTGGATAAAATAATTAGATAAAGCAAATTTCTTCATTGTTCCTTGCATCACCCACAAGTGCGTATTGAGGTTTGTTGTTGTTTGAGGGGTTTTGGATTTTTTTTAATTCAACGCTTGAAAGCAATGTCAAAGTGTACATTTAAGAAATGGTGCCTGTGAGCCTAAGGTCAAAGACACATGAATACATACTCTGTGCAATACACAGTGCAATGGATGGTGCACTTGCTCATTTGCCTCCTCCTATACCAGCGCTTGCAAGCATCAGAGAAGGCATTCCACAAAATCTGTACCTTCTAACACCTGAAAAACCTCCTACAAACTCTGTGTACTGTGAAATTAGTGTGCCATGATGAACAGCTGCTCATCATTTTGAACAGAAGAGGAAAAAGTGAATTTTTGATGCCAGATTCTGAAATACAAATTCAGGCCTGCAGTCCTCACAACCTGTATCTTGAGCAAGTAGCCTTAACTTGCATAAGACCTAAGAAAACTAACAGATCTAGCAGGATCAATCCCCCCTGTACATAGACAGGACTATCTGCAGATGTATTATGTTAACATGGGGCGTTTCATTTATTATCTGCATAAAGCATTTTCTGTATTTTAGCTAAGTAGTCTCACTATTATTACACAATTTTCAAATACAGCTCTAGAAAATATAGTTGTTTCCACCAATAAAAAAAGATGACAGTCATAATTTTTAAAGTTTTCTGACAGAACCCAAAGAATAAATTCTCATAGGAAAACTAACTAAAGAAAATTTAGACACGCAAAGATAGAAAAGATACTGGTTTAAAATACGTTTTTTAAAGAAAATTGAATAAAATCAATCTGGAAGATATTAAATAGGGAATCGGGTAAATTTACCTATCTGCTTTGCCTATGAATATTTAACTGCCGAAAAAAATCCCTACCTCCAGTTAATTTTGACATATATTCAAAAATGAGATGTGTGTTCTTCCGACAGATATCTACTGGATCATCCAAGAGCTCAGCAAGGGCAGAAATCACTCCATTTTGTATCAGCCCATGCCTGCAAACAACATTGGAGAAAAGATTTAACTAAGCATAATAAAACTCATATATTTGTGAAATGCTAAATCTTATTCACATTGCACCTATCTTGTAAAAACTTAGAAATTCTGTTCTTATTCCTCACTGAAACATCTTTATCATTTCCCATACCGTTCAGTAAACTCTGGAATTACACCTACCTGCCAACATTATGCATTGTCATTATATGGAGGATTTCTGTTGTTTTTTGTCGGACAGTACTATCCTGATGTACCAGCAAAGTCTTCAGGTTATCCAAAACTCCTGAGAGATATAATAGTTCATTTTAACATTTCTTACCTTCAGCATTAATCTTAAATAGCAATAATAATTTTTATGTCACAATTTTAAGCACAAATAATCAGAATTTTTTCATCTTGTCCTGACAATGAAACTCTTGTTGTTTTATCTCAAGTTGGGAACAAACTTTGAAATTTCAAGGCCTACTGTCAAAAATGCTATGCTACAAACAAGCTGCTGACTTCTGTATCAAGTTAAATTCTCATCTTACAAATATTTATGAAGCACTATAACTCTAAATATGAGTCACTGGAGCTATTCATGAAATCTGAATATGCTTTTCAAAGAGCATGTGTTTGCAGGATCACTGTCTACATTTCTTTTTAAGCTTTCTTTAGGTGTACCATGTGCTATGTAAAAACACACAGCATTGCTTTTCACATGTAGAAAGAAACTGGGTGAACCATTAATGATTATGTGTATACATACATAGCACTGACCAAAGGAAAAAAATAAACCACACAAACAACAATCTCACATTGCTTCAGCAGCTGCTGTAGATCAACAAATAACTTCATACATTTTGAACATGATTATTGGTATCTTTTACGAGGAAAAAAATGTGAATTAAGTAAATGGAGAAAAAAGCAGTGGCAAACTGGAAGACTTGTGCAGTGTTACATACTAACAACAGACTGCTAAAAATTGCAAAGATAAGCTGTGTGTCTGGTTTTTTGGGTTTTGTTTTGGGGTTTTTTTTTCTTCCCCAAAATCCACACTTAGGATTCTTCAAAGTGCTCAGATAAAACCCTCTGAAAATAGTGGTGGCCAGATATAATCCTGATGAGTATAATAGATTTGGTCATATTCTTTTGTATCTTAATTTCTCATGAAGTTCCAGGGTTGTTTTTTGCTATAGACTAATTCTACAATCACTAAGATAGTTCTGAGAAGGAGTCCTGCATAAAAAGCTCTGATATTTTCTCTCTCTGGTAAAGTTATATCTGGATGTGCCATGCTACCCACTGCTGAAGGAATGAATGACAAAAGGTTACTCAACGGATTTTGCAAATGAACTTGTAAAGCTTATTTAAATATTATTTTATTAATTATTAATTAAAAGATTCATCAAAGTTTTTTTTGCCTGTTATTATGGAATCTGAGATATGAGTATTTTGAGCACCTCAAGTATGAAAAATCAAGGGAGATACCACTGTCCTGAGTCACATGTGGTAGAAAATGTCTAATGAAGGAAAAAGAAAAAAGGGTGATTTTGCCTTTTTTTTTCTTGCTCTAGGATAACTAAAAGCTTCTTATTTTCCCCTTTCTAAATAAAATATATTTAGTAATTTTTGTAAGATCACTGCTTTGTTATTTTCTGAAAGGTTCATGGAAAACAAGGTTGGAAAAGATTCCAGGCAAATGAAATTTAACTAAGCAACAAGGGGGTGGTGTTTCTAACTTTGGACTGATTAATCTTTTTTTATACATATATATTATTAGACTGTGTTGGGAGTTAAATAAAATTCAGTGTAAACAGAAGAAAAAGATTCTGCACTACTTTTGCATTTAGGGGTTGATAGAACCTATAGTGGGCCATTGATAAATCCTACAGTGAGGATAGTCTTAAGATGATTGTTATGCATATGGTATTATAATATTCTTTACCATTTTAAAAGAGATTAAAATAGGAAAGGCTTCACGGCCATTTTGTGTCATCAAAGATAGTGCAAAGAGAAAAGTAGTGCTTTCCCCTCTCCCTCTGTGGCAAAGCTTATGACAACAGATCACTTACCTAATTCTAGTGCCTGGTACACATTTTGTGGGTCATGGACCAGATCGCAGAGCGTCATCAGTGCCCGCTGCTGAGTCAGCAGCTCAGGAGACTGTAACTCCTCATTCAGTTTAGGAAGGGCCCTCCTTCCAAATGCAACAGGAGCTTTTGTGGGATCTATATTAGGGGGGAGGCTGGCTGAAATACGAGCATGTGCCATCCTGAATTTTCCTGGGAAGGATTCTCCCTATCCCTAAAAATACTCAAAAATGACTGTACCTGGTGACTGGACAGATAATGTACCAAAAAGATAACTAGTGACTTTTAACAGTGCTCCATGTCCCAGAAGAGCTACTTTAGCATACATTCATTGCTAGGAAGCTATGAAAGAGGCTGGAATGGTTCATGGTCATCAGCATTAATGTCTGTTCATCGGTCAAATTGTCTTATCTGGTTTAATTCTCTACTGAACACTGTAAAAGAAGAGAGGAGGGGGAAAGAAAGAGAGAGAAAGCAAGCTTAATATTGCAAGGTGAGAGAGGGAATGTTTTTCAAAGCATTAAAGTGAAGTAGTTCAATATCCTGAACCAGACAAGGGGCTCAAAAAACCCCAAGCCAAAAACCAAAAACAAACAAACAAACATACAAAAAAAACCAAAACAAAAAAAAAACCCACCCCAAAAGATCATTTTTCAAAAAACCCGATTCTTTTAAAAGGGGTCTAGTTTAAACCCGCCCTCAGAATTCGTTAACGTTTGAAAGAATTAGTAACGGCTGACCTCCCCCTTCTCTCAGTAAAGAAAACGGCTCATCTGACAGAAGCATACAACCTCCAGCACTGGGAACTGCTCTACAAAACCAACAAAAACCCAGCTGCAAAGTTAAAACAACTGCTAAACAACTGCACTTCTCTCTTCAAAACAAAAGAAATAGACTAAATAATCAAAGGCGCCCTGTCCCACCAACATGTCACCGCCTCAGCCCGTCCTGCTTCCCGCTCCACAGCCCCTGCCACTGCGGCAGCACCCCCCCCTGCCCCTGCGGCAGCCCCTTCCGCTCCCGCGTTCTCTAGTTACCACAGCAACCAGCTCTTTGCATGAACGCCGCTCCGTGAATAAGAACTGCGCAGCCAAGCATACTGAATCTGGTCCTACGTCAACAGCGTAAATACCGCGTTTGACGGTACCTGCTGTGAGAGAGCAGCGCTAGTGGCGTAGTTGGTGAATTGGAAGCCGGGGCCGCTGCTGGCGTGGGACGGGGAGCGCCGTGCGCGGGGCTGGGTTGAGGCGTGGGACGGGGCTGAGGCGTTGTCCCTTGGGAAAGAGAGCGGGTGAGGAAAAGGGGGAAACGCCGCTGAGGGGTTGCAGTGTGGAGGCCGGTTTACTTCCCCGCTCCGCTAAAACGTGGAGGGAGGCTTTCTTCTCACCCGCCGTTTTAAAAGTAATCTTAGTTGAACACAGTTGAAAAAATATCAGATTGAACAAAATGGTGGTCGAGTTAATGGCAGAGATGTGGCAGGTGAGAGTGCCTTGAGGTACAACGGTTGAAGGGAGCTCAGTAGCTTCCAACTAGGTTTTCTTTCTGAGTTTTCTTCTGAATGTCACTATAAATAGCTAGAATGTGTAGCAGGAGTTTCCATTATCATGAGGTAGTTTCATGTATTCAGGACTTGGCCATCTTTTTTCATTCTGCTACAAAGTACAGTCTGAGGATGGTACACAGGGAGAACATATTGTAATGTTGCCATTACAATTTAAGGGTGCTCTGGATTGCCAGATGTGATGTGGCATGAGGAAAAAACCAACTCTGAACAGCTGTAAAAGGTTAGTTCTCAGTACAAATAGGCAAATTATTGAGATGTTTTTCATTATGCTTGAGTAACAATTATAATAAAGTTCTTAAAGTGGATTTTGCAAAGCCAAAGTCATTCAGATCAGTTGGATTAAAATGCAGCACAGGAATAGATTATGGTTTGTTGATCTTCAAAATCCGTAGAAGAAAAACTATTAGTTTAAAAGTATTTTGTGGAAAGGATTCATTTTTTCTGCAACATTTTAGAGGAGATTATTTAAAGTAGAGGTTCTTTTCCTGAATTAGGTTAGACTTTTGCTAGCTATATATTTGTAAAGTTTCACCCTATTTCAGTAGGAGGAACATGAACTTCTGTCAGTGTAGAAGGGGCAGGAGAAGATCAGAGACTTCTCTTGTCCTTCAGTGTTAATTCTGCTCTCATTCTTTTGGCATGACTTGTCCTGTCTTGTCCTTCACCACAGCTTGGAATACTGATTTTGGTTGGTGGTCATGACGTTAACTTATTTTATTTACAGCTACTGAATGCCTTCCTCAAATCCTTTGGCTATCTACAGAATCTGTTGGTGCTCCTGTTCCTGCAAAATTGATGTAAGGAGTGTTGTGATGCCATGGAGACACTGTATTCCCAGTCCCTCCTGGTGACTGAATCCCCTTTAGCTTTATAAGAAGAGAAAATCTGGTTCTCAGTACTGATCATTCTCAGTATTTTTAGCATCTTTGTGTTTCTAAAATAATTGATCTTTTCCCTCAAATGGTGTGCCTGATTTGGGATATGTTTATGTGTTAAATACACTAAATGTAAGTGAAAATGTTTCTGTTTGGTTGCCTTGGTCTCACCTGTACTCTGGATTCACTAAGATGGTTGAATTGATTTTTATTTACTTTTCTTCTGTAGCTTAGAATGCTCTAGGAGACAGTCAGTGAGTCAGCCTATGGACACATGACACATTTATGCATGTCTAGGATTTGTTGAACTAGGAGAATATGGAGAAAGCAAGTTAGTGTTTGAAACTCTTACCAAGTGGCACAGTTTTTGTTTTCAGAGCTATTATTTTAAGACATTGCTATAAAATCATTCAAATTTGCCAAAGAGCAAGAGCACAGCATAAAAAGGGTCAGATCTCTAGTTTTATAAAATCACAAGTAACATGATAAGCAGAACTATGCATATGGTGATAAATAAGTACTGTAATGTCACCTTCTTTAATGAGTAATCCATTAGCTGCAAATCTGGATTCTTTGGGGGGAAGAGGGTGTTTCAGTACGGTTGAGATCACATGGGTGTCTTAAGAGATTTAAAAGCAATTCCTCACAAAAGAGAATAAAAGATTAATTCTAAGTAGTTGACTGGCAATTTTGTTGAGCATTATTCTTAGTATGGTGGTGTAAAACACAACTGTATGGATTTTGTTATATACTTACCGTTGTTTAAAATTACGTGTCCATGTTGATTTGCCCTTTTAACATTTTTAGTCTGCTGCAGGAATGGGAGAGGCTTATCTCTTCAATGTTAAGAGGTTCAAGCCTGTTCCAGCATTATCAAATATGACTATTAGAATGTGAGAGCTTTCTTTTGTCCTGAAATTTGGAAATTTAAATCATAATAAATAGGAAAATCTTTTAGCATCTTAAATTACAGTCTAGCATACTAAGTGCTGTCTAAACTAATGAGTTGGTTAACAATACTTAGCCAATACAAAAGAGCTGTGTGATTTCTTATTCCTTGTCTTTAGTGTTTGGTACATTAGAAAGCAAGATTACTATTGACTAGAAAGACATCTATATAATTCAGAGTGTCTCATTAGTGGCATGAACATCCTGATGCTAAAGCTGAGATGAAATTAAGTTGAAATTCTGAAACTCCCTCAGGAGTTTCTTTATATTTGCTACTATGCTTAATATTAGCACTGTAACAGTTCCCCACTCCATTAGTTCCTTGTCTGCTGGGTTAATCCTGCTCTCTCTATCCATATATACAATTACATTTGAAGAAAACGGAACTATTACCTTGTACAGAATTCAAGGACCACTGGGTTTATTAAGGAGCAGTTTCTGATCACAGGAATCTGTATGGCCACTAAAAGCAGTTTGTTCTTTTAAAACTAAGGCCCTACATATAGTTAAATTACTCCAACTGCACCTTCACAATCTGTAAAGAAGGTGAGGAAGGGAACTGTTGAGAGCCTGTTGCTATGGCCACACTATAGCAGCCTGAGCTGTTTGTGTGGCTGGAATCCTGCTGCATCAGCTGCTGCGCAGTGAGTCCTTCCTTATACTTGGCCACATGATGAATGTTCTTAGAAACATTCTTTTGAATGCCAGTAAGAAAGTGGTATGCTATTAAGGGTCCCCTCCCCCAACAACCCACGAGGTATCATTGCATAACCAAATTGATATATCTCAAGTGAGTTATCTAAATGCATTTGTGATTTTCATATGAACGTTATTCTTTTTCCAAGTTAGCCTGTCTACTGATTCCATTCTTTCTGAGCTGATCTTGGATGAAAGTTCGATGCTGTGCCAAGAAATGTGACAGCTTCATCTTTCCTTCCTTCTTCTGACCAAGTGAAATCTGGTATCGCTAATATTTATTAATGTCCTTTGTGCAGAGGTATTTCAGATAATGATGAGCAAGATTTTTAAATTCAACTCTGCAAAATCCTTTGAGAGCTAAACTGCAAGCACTTATGTTTAATTAATTCTCTGCTCTCCCACTGAATTAGAGCTGATGCCTTGTAGTTTCAGAAAGCCACTGTTTGTTACTACAGCTATGCACCCTGAAGTGGTCCCTTTTGCATAAGAAACAGGTTTTATTTAACGCAAACCAGTTGTACTGCAATGAAAAAACATTATGAGTCTGTAAGAACTGTTAAGTTTTTTATCACTTTTTCCCTATATTGAAGCAATTCCTGAAAACTATGTTTCTCTTTACGTATTTCCTGTCTGGTAGAATTGACTTGAATTTGGAGGATGAAGTCCAACCTAATGCATTTGGTCCCCGCAGTGAGCAGGGACACAATACTCTCCTGGTTTCCCAAAGTAAGCATTCTTTATCCCTCTGGTCACAGTATGTAGCACCTGCCACATTCTTTCCCTTGTGCTAATAGTATTTTAATCTAATGTACAGTTGTTGTCATCTGCTAAAATTAGAAATTGTTTAAGGATTTCTTTCAAAGATGAATGTGGCCTCATGTTGCCATTCAATGATAAAGTGTTATCTTACAATACATATCTTGTTGTTTCAACCAAACATTGACTACATGCTTAAAGAGTTCCTATGCCGAGGGAAAATAAGAACCATAGCTGATATCAAATTTGCAAAGAATCTAATCAGATCTATATGGAGGTTTTGGTTGAAGAATTGAGGCAATTTTAGTTTTCTCTTTGTATAGGAATCTTAGTCATACAGTAGATCAAATCATCCTTCTAAGGGAGTTAGCAATTTTTTTCCATGCCTGATGTCAGCCACATATTTTGCTTTTAATTTTAGGAAAACTGACATAGTTATTTTAATCAAATATAAAATAAATTTTCCTCATTTTTAACAAATGTCTAATTAAAAGCTAGTATAAAAACAGTGCTTCACACATGAGAGATCAAAAAGACTTCACTATGACTTGGCGGTGGCATGCTCCCAAAGGAGGTTTTACAAATAGAGCTGTGGGAAGGCTTTACTGCTTTCTAACCCAAGCTATCACTTCTCTTACACCAGGATATCCCTGTGCTTGGCAAACTCTTTGAATTAATCTTCTCGTCTATTTTTTCCTTGCTGATAGGACTTTTGCAAAGTAGGCATCACACGGTTTATCCCAGTAGCTGCTCTCCTATTTTCAATGGTACACACCTGAGGCCTCTTTGCAGTTCAAAGAGCACTTCCATGCAGAGGTCAGGAGTGCTTGTCAGCAGAGCACTGGGTAATATTGTAACACATCTCTCTCCCAGAACTGTTACTAGTACTGATTTATTTGCTGAAGCAAGACTAGAAAGCTTAACTGTGCTAGAAATTACCACTATTCATTTAAAATAAATAGCTGTATGTTTTAGTGATAAACGCTTCTGTATTTCAGTGTGAAGGATCTTTCTTAAAGTGGAGCTCCTATTAATACTGGCAATTAAGTCACTATTCTTTCAAATCTAGAGTTTTTGATTACTATGAAACTTGTCATGATATCCATCTTTGAATGGAACTTCTCATTCACTTCACTAAAGGTTTTTTGGGGGGGAAGCTGAAATATGTCTCCCTGAGAGACATCAGTGAGTTCATTGCTTTTTAGAAGCACAGTCACTGTCTTAGTTTACACTAGCATGTAAATTTGTTGTAAGTGTCCACACAATTTTGCTAGCAAGACACACTTTAGTGAATTGAGGCATTTCCCTCTCTGTAACCAGTGTAAACCAGCTCTCCAGTTCATTTATTCTGGTATCAGAGCTTTACATTTTGGCTTTGTGAATAAAATGAAATAACTTTCCTGTCACTGCTCTCTAGGTATTATTTCGTCACTTTTTTGGTGGAGCCAGGGTAGGAGGGACAGACAACTGAGTGTTTTGTGCAGTAATTGTAAAGCTTGACAGCAATTGCCATTATCTTAATTTTCCATTATCCCAAGTAATGGAATATTCCTTTGTCATTTGGAAAGGTAGTCTGATAAATTCAGTAGCTAATGGATGTATTTTAAGAATCTTGATATTCCATCAGTGTGTTAAATTGTCTAATCTGGGGAGGTTTTTTCCCCAGTATGAATTAATGGAACACGCATCTCTAAACCATCAGTTACTTTTTTGCTTTTCCCTTAGGTCGTTGATTTTATTCAGTATTTCATCAGTAACATTTAATCAGGCAGAGACATGTCAGCTGCTTAGAGGCCTGTGGCCACCCAGTTGATGTTGACTGGCACACAATATTAGTCATGTAACTTACCAGTCAAGATTTGGACTATTTAGAATAGGTAACTTTGAATCAGTATCACACAGAAGCCCAATAGAAGCAGAAACAGTTTTTAGTAAATCAATAGATTTGTTTAAAAAACTATTCCTTTATACAAAAGAACATTAAACCTCTTAAGCCATTTTTGTAGCATGTGCACAGGAGATTGTCAATCCAAGTTTATGCCAACAAATATATTCATTTACCTACCCGTATGTCTTAAAAGATACACTACACTTCAATTTTAAGAATGCAGCTGAGTCACCTAAAGCCCAACTGCTGTATTCTGTGGGAGGACCCAGAGCAAAGAGGATTATTTGCATGAAGCCAACTTCAGATTAATATTGTTCCACGTAGTCAGAAAATGTATTGGCTCAAATCACGTGGTTTTTTTTTTTTTTTTTTTTTTCCCCGGAGACAAATTCTACAGTGGGTATTTCATTATCAGCAATTTCTTGTTTCTGCGCCTACGATTATTAAAGTCAATAAAAAATTTGTGATTAATTTTAATGAAAATGATGCAGATATTCTATGGTCTTATTTGCAAATGTATATGCTTGCAGTCAAAGCAATTTTAATAGTACAGAATTTAGGTCCCACTGATTATATTTAAGAAAAAATATGCAGACTAAGAAACTGGCTATTTCAGCTCCAGAGGGGTTTGCCTTTTATGGCGATCACCTTTTTCTTTCTTACAATTTAAAACTGATTCTACAGCACAGTGTCATTTAGGTAAACTGGAGTCACAGGTAAATGTGCTCATTGCTTGCAATTTAAGAATCGAAATCAGAATTTTTAGAGAGACAATGTTTAAATTTCTACTAAAAATGTTTAATGTTTTCAAATATTTACAACAGGCTGAATAGGTAGGAGACCGCATGCATGTTGGGAAAACCAGCCTTATCCACAGGTACAGTGTATCCCAGCAGATAGTTTGATTCTGCTATATCTCAAATAAATGTTACAATGTTTCTATTCCTGTCCATTCAGGGTACTAGTTCATGGTTCTGTTTTGAACCATGGTTTTGTTATTAAATAAAGGACAAAACAAAGTCTAGGGTATGAGACAGGCTTGATATACCAACACAGAAAGCCATGCTCTGGCACTTCAATCAGTCTATGTTCTATTTTGAACTACTTTTATCCAGTCAGATATGATACAGTGTTTCCTTAAGAAATCCAGTGTAAAGGCTAAAGGATTAGAAGGTACAAAAAGAAATAAATAAGTAAAAATGTTGCCAGTTTCTGAGTTTTGGCTTCATGTTTTCTCCTTACTAATAGGGCGGTTCACCAAAATATTTTTAAGTCATTGTTGTGTGTGTGCCTGAACCAGTTTCTACCCATCCAAGACTGTAGAGGAAGCTTGAGTTTTTGTGTAGCTTATGAAATAAGACAGATAAAATTCAGAATGCTTTGAAGAATAGTCATTTGATTCTTTACTGGATGTTAAAAACAGCTCTTATGGGTTTTGTATCTAAGTCCAGTGATCACTGAATTTCTGTAGGTTATGATCATAGTGACAACTTTCTATGTTTGAGTTTTAGTATTATTATTTCTTCCATGTTTTTACATATATATGGTAAGTTTTTAATTTCATTGATTATCATTTGAGTATTTACTAGAAGTGCATGTTTTCTAGTTTGTTATCCAGTATCTCCTCTTTTAAAATCAATTTCTTGGTGTCTTCATCTATGTTTCTGCAATATTCAGCAACTCCACAGTTAGTTAATTCTTTTCATCATAATTTACCCTAGAGAGTGTTAGTTTTGCACTTATTTGTAGCTGGGTGTTACTAGTATTTCATCCTTGCTTTTAATTGCAGATTTTATAAAGATAAGTTTGACTGACACTACAAGGCTACTAATGGAGTGGATTTTGAAATTGAATGTTTTGAAATAATTGGAATATCACCTACTGTCCAGATGTAAGTTGACACAGTATGGTCAAACATTGCACAAAGTACAATCTCAGCAGAGCCTGAAAACCAGGTTCTGTACCTGGTTTTTACTTGCAGTTTTAGTGAAATATTTACTCTCTTGGATTTCTTATCTGTAAAAAATGAAATGTCATTTGTCAATTAAAATCTTGGATGTCTTGCACCATCTCAGCATAGGTCTGCCTTTTTCATTCAAGTTTCTTGAAACAAAAGTGGAAGCTTTTGCCACATACTTTGTCACTGTTATATCATTCTGTCATTTGAGTTTAGTAGGTACAATGAGCACTGAACTTGGCTTTACTGGGAATTTTATTCTTGTAGTCCCTGAAATCAATGGTAAGGTGTTCAGTGATTTCAGCGTCTCTTTCTTAGGGACTAATTATTTTTCCCCAAGTCATAGAAAGACTGGAGTGTTTTTATTAGAATGTGGACTTAAAATCTTTGCTTTTCAGCTTTGTTTATCAGACTAGTGGGAATCCTGTCCTTCTCTCACCTGCCTTGGTTCTGCTGACGGATGTCCTTTGCTATTTCCAGTGGCTAGCAATATTGTTCTGTGGAGGGCACTATTGAATTATCTATGCTGTGCTGTGACCTAGAGCAGAAATAAAATGCTTTGCAGGAAATATTTTAGTTCATAAGTCATAAAAGCCTTTTCACTTAGGAACACATTTTTCTGAGATCATTAATGTAGATAGATGGCTAATGGGATTTATTGAAACATACTTAGAAATCCAGGTTGGACAGGGCGTGCAGCAACCTGGTCTACTGGAATGTGACCCTGTCTGTGGCAGGGGGTTGGAACTAAATGAGCTTTAAGGTCCCTTCCAATGCAAACCATTCTATGATTCTATGAATCAATTTCCAACTGATTTCAGTGCTATTGTGTTTCTGAAAATTCTACCAGGCACTATTCTTTTGGAACTTGAGTCCCTCTAAAAATCTAGACTGATGCATCAGTATTTTGTAAGCTGAAGTAATAAGGTTTATGAGCTACTAAATGTCAGGTTGTGTTATCTGCAGAATCTTCAGTGGCTGGGTAGAACATTTCCATGTGATAAGCACTAGTGCCCCTCTTGCTGACAGATCTCCGTACAAGATAAATTTGCAAGTGTTCATGACTGGCAGTACTAGTCTGTAACAAAATCCCAAGCCTCTGTAGTGCTGGCAGTAGCTGAGAGGACTGCATGTCATATTCATTAATAAGAAGCACTTTATTTTCTTTAATAGTGCCATTAATACCTGGTGGACTGAGCTATAGGTCTCTAATTTGTAATGTATGGACAGATGTCCTATCTACCAATTGCAAGATTATAAGATTCTATGAGCTAATGTATGATCTAGGTAGTATTAGCATAGAAAATTCTCAATATTAGCTTGCCCTAGAAATACATACAAATGACATAGATGAGGAAAAAGTTTTTAAAGACTATTACCATGCAGAATACAAATACAAATATTTGAACTGTATCTTCAAAATGACAAGTATATATATCAAAAAATGGTAAAAATAGAGTTCAAATGTCTTCATTACATAATAGAGCTTTACTGTATTTTTATCAGTAGTTAATGAATAACATGTTCCAAATAATAGCAGTTCTCTGGTATCACATTATTCTCCAACCTGTACCAGTCTGTTGCATGTTTACTCAGATTACACCGGGTTTCATTAACCTGAAATTTCTTTTTTTCCCCCCATTGCACAGATGGGACACAGCAGGTCAGGAGAAGTTCAAGTGCATTGCATCTCTTTACTACCAAGGAGCAGTAGGTGAGAACAATACTTTGATCCTGGCTGTGACAGGAGGTTGTAGTTTATACAGAAACATATATGCATATATGCTCCTTGGGAGGGTGCCTGTAGACACAGTGTGGTGGAATGGATTGTCCATTATTGGAGAGGAGACGGGACTAAGAAGTTTGTGAATTGATATGTTGTTGGACCTGCAAGCTCTGAATGTTCTGATGGTCAGTTATAAAAATTGACACTTGTGTCTAGGGGAAAAGAATTTGGGTTGGATAAGATTATTGCTGAAGTCAGAAGATAGAATACTTCTGGCATTCCCTTTGGTAGGAGATAACTTCTGCAGGAATTAAAGTGGTCACTTTACAAAATAAAAGATAAAAGAAACAGTAGCACTATAGACTGCAGGCAAAGAGTAAATAAGGTGGAAGACTGACGAATGCAGTCTTACTGGGTGCTAGAGAAGGAAGAGGAATGAGCAAATGAGTAGTATTCCATCTCCTCTGTGTTAAATCTGCTTTTGCACTCTATATGTAAGCATCCTCTCTGTTTAACACAATGAGTTGGAGAGAATTCTGATACACTTTCTAACTTATTTTTTCTCTGTTCTTATCTCCTATTGCATTTATTATAACAGTGTTTGATCTGGCTGATATCCAGACTTTGGATCACATCAAATAAGTTTCTGTATTTTGGCTTAGGATTTAGAGCTTTTGCAGCAGGTTTAAACACCTTGGATAGTCTGCAGTTGCTGAGAACTAGCTGGATCATGAGCATATTTTCTACTGAAATGAGAAATGAGGAATGACAGTCACTTGTTTAGATTACACAGGGTGGGATTTTTGTAGAGAAAATGCAGAGCATAAATTTAAACTACTTACCCTTGGCTTCCTTTATGGTCAGTGGAGAAGACACTTCATTAAGAGCTTGATCTTTCCAAATCCAGACATGCAGGAACAGGTTGAAGTGTGCCCCAAAAGCTTTTTTTTTTTTTTTTCCCTTCCCCTCCTTTATTTGCTATAAACAGAGTAACAGGCTGGCATCTGAGGTGAATAGTGAAATGGATGAGATACATCAAATGTATAATGTCTCAAAAGCCTGTCTCTAGATAAACTGCTAGCCTAAAATTTTCTTTCTCTAGTTTCTGTAGTGATTCTTTTGGGAGATAGGCTGTCAAAAAGAGGACAGAAAATTAAAATCTCAAATTATACATAGATCTAGGTGAACTTACCCGCTCAGGCACTTGTAATGGTTTGCTTACATGTTAATCGTTTTAAGTAAACTTGTTCTGCTTTTGGTGCAGGCTGCAAATCCCAGCTTAGCTCTATGATCCACATTGTTGTCATCAGCTCAGAGCCTATACCTTTCTAACATACTGTTGTGACTGTAAGGCAGGTACATGTTTCTTTACAACTTGTACTCTGTCTGATTTGAATGTGTATTAGACTATTTTCTTAGACTACTGCTGTTGTACTTAGCTCATTTACATATGACTTTGTAAAATAATATATATATTAGTGTCTCTGCTTGGCTGAAAATAATTGAAGCTTGTGAACCTGATTTCCCACACACGCACACACTCCCTTCCCTCCTTGATTTGTGTCGGATGACTCAAGAGGAACTTGATTGCCAGAGTAACAAAAATATAAAAGCTTAGGAGACAAGAATCATGCAGCCTTCACAGGGAGCTGTTTTATAATGCTGAATAGATTATTTCACTCTTCTTTATTCCTCTTTGTATCTAATCTGCTATGTTGTTCATATCTTTTCCTCTGCTTCTTGTTCTTTTTATTCCTGATCTCAATCAAAAGTTTGCCCTCTCCCCTATACTGATAAATACCCTCTCTGGGTGCTGAAATCATTGTTGAATTTGTGCTCTGTGGTGGGCATGTTTGAACTTTTCATTAATGGAAGGCATGTATTCAAAGGAGTTGGAATAGCTCCTGGTCTCTTTCTGCCTAGAAAAAAATGGCTTTTGATCCTCTCACATAAGTTCATCCTCTCACTTTCCTTGTGACCTTGTTATCAGTCACTTTCTCCTGTATTCCTCAGTCCCTCTGACTGATTCCCTCATTACTCTTTTGTATTTCAGACAGTGGCTAGAACATGCATTGAGGGAGAATGAGCCAGATTCCAGCTTCATCTTTCCAGTTGGAACAAAAAAAAACAAACAACAAAAACATTTGGTGGTAAGTAAATTTAATGCAGATAAGGAAATCAGGTTTCCTGTAGTTCCTTGATTGATTTTCCTTATGAGTTGTACATAGTGTTGTTGAGATAAAGACCTTCAGGGAAAAAACAAACAGAAAGAAAGCTCACAGGTAACTAGAACAGCACTTGGAACTAATTTAAGGAGATGCTTTCTGAAAAAGACCTAAAAAGTAGTTAGTGAAATATCCCTATTTGAATTCTTTGCATGACATTTTTCAAGCACATACAAACAACTGAAAAGGCAGAAAAAAGCTGTCTGCCAGAAACGCATATAGTGAAAGACACTTGTAGTGAAAAATACATAATTTTAGAGTATTATTCTTTGACAATTCTCCACAACTTTTAGATAGTGAGCTTGTGTTATAAAGGGAGCAGAAAACAAATGGCAGTTCAGAATAAACGGTGCTAGCTATATGGTTTTGCCTTTCAAGTTCGTAGTATAAAATAACTCTGACTTGCTTTTATGCATTCCAAATATTCTACAACTGCTTCAATATAGATCTGTTTGAATTATAGGTATGGAAGTACACAAATGCAGATTGCATAGTTTTCACTATGGTTTCTCTATCCAGGAAAAATCTGTATTATTTTTCATTTTCCACTTGAGAATCAGAGCCCAGTGTTTAAATATTTCCAAGCCTCAGAGAAGCCCAGATAGAAACTTCATTGGTTTATCCCAGCTATCTAATATATTGAAACTGTTACCAGACAAGAATGCTATTCTTTTCCACTCTCGAATAAGAAAGAATTATAACATAGGTGCATAGCATGGAATACATGAAATCTAGTTTTTCTATCTTCAAAATAAGATGCTTCTCTGGATTGATCTACATGAATATTATCTATGCTGCAGTTCTACTGTGTTGCTAAGAGTAATGACTTTCATTTCATTCTAACTGGAATTTTTGTTTGTAGTAATGTAACATGATTCTGAACTTGTTCATCCCTGTCTGAGGTAGGAACTCTGAGCTAGTAAGGTTAGTTTTGATACTGCTGCTAAATTCCTAGGCACTCTTTCTGTTTTACTGGACAAGATAATTTGATCACTACAAGCTGGAAGCAATTTGCTCCACTATTTAATAAAAGCAGCTATGTAGAGAAATAGTTTTGCCATTTTGTGAAAAGACTTAGAAGTGCGTGTGGGTTTAGAGGGATGGGAAAAGATGGAGTTCTCCAAAGTAGGCGCATGCTTGTTAAGCCATAAGGTACTAGCTGTCTGAAGATGTCATTACTGACTGCTTCTGGTAGAACCTGCTCATGTTGTTGTAACTTGATGCGCTGGCTGGATCAAACACCATTGCACTGGTTTTGCCTTTTCAAATACCCTTTGACATAATCTTGTGCAATTTAGAAGTTACAGACATTGTTTAATGGGGAGAGATTAGCTCTGAGTACCACTGAATTTCATCAAAGTAAAGCAGCTTTATAATGCTCTTCTGCTCTTTGGGATACAATGGCTGATGCCAAAAGACATTTCTGCTTTAAAATTCATCCCTGCTGACAGATGACATTGCCAGAAATATAAATGACGAATAATGTTGTCAGTATTTGTGAAATTGTATTAGTATGACTGATCATGATAACTAGGTTTAAACTGCAGAATTACAAAAGAAATGGAAGGGAGATACACTCATTTTAATTTCTCTCTAATTTTTGCAGTAGCTCGCTGAATTTGAATGTTCAGTTTTGGTTATCTATTTAGTGATATTTTTCCAATATAGATAAGATATTGTAAATCTTTACCTTGCTCTAAACCATACACATTTATGGTCCTTAAATTACTGTCAGCACTCAATTGAAAGAATTAACAAAGAAATCAAAGTGAGACAACAGAAGGACTCCTTCTCTAGAAATCTATCAGCAGCTTATAACTCCATACCTCTCAGATTCAAATCCAGTATTATATGCTATGCTGACATGACAAAAATGGAGAGAAAGAAGAAAACCTATGGACAGTTACATTTTCTTAAGACACACATTCAGTCATTACAGAAATAACAGTATCTGGAAAACTGATGAGGACAGGACCTTTCAGATTTGGCTACTGGTAAAATAAAGATATTTGTTAATAAATCTATGCATCAAACAAAATATTGTAGATTCTCTGCTGGTTTCTCCCTTCCCCAATTGTTTGATAAGAAATAGGAAAAAGTAGAGAAAAGAAGAATTAAACATCCTTTTTATTACCTCTATTTTCTTATGATGTAAGTTAGAGCAGCTTCATGGACTATCACAGAATTGTTAAGCTTGGAAGAGGCCTCTGGAGGTGAATAGGTGAATAGAGATCTAGGAACTCTGTGTCTCTTTTTATTCACTTTGGCAATTGTGCCAGTTATGTTGGCAAAGACAGAAATGTAGCATTTGGTGGAGAAAATCAGTATGTGTGGGTATGTATAGAGCTATTTATCCAAATGTGTAATATTTTGACCTTATGATGATCTGTGTATTTGTTCATCTCCCAAATCTGTTTCACAAGGATGACGAATATACACTCCACTTGTACCACATGTTGCACTGAGTGGGTCTTCATGTTGACTGAGTTTGAATGAGAGTAGAAAAGCTGGCTCACTGTGCTTCAGCAAATCTTGTCCAGGCTAGGCGCTAGGTTTCTGTGCAGATGTGTTAGTGTTTACAGCTACAAAATGACTTAGTATCAAATACCAGAAACTACAGGGATTCAGTTTTTTCTTCCCCTCAAAATCTCTCTCCTGTTTCTTTTGTTGCTGAGCTCAATTTATTATACATAATCAGAGATGCAATCCCTTCAACAATACAATTGTATTGCTTGGAAAATCAAGTGGCACAGTTTTTTCTAGTGATTCAGTATGCTGCTTGGTGTCATTACTGGTTTGTGCCTTCTGAACCTCCAAAAACTTCACATACAAATGCAATACTCTGTCAGTCATTAACCACCACTTGACAATAGTCTGACTCCATTTATTCTATAATAGATACTTTGAGACTTTTCAGTTGTGTTTTTTTTTTTCATTTGGGGATTTTGTTGTTGTTGTTTGGTTGGTTTTGGGGTGTGTTTTGTAACATCACTGAGACTTGCCCTGTAAAGAACTCATATTACTAGTTGATCATCTAAAATGAAATCTTGGATCATGTCGTAAATGATGAATTGCTTAAGAAAGCACAAAGGAAACTAACTTTGGTGGAAAAGTAAACATGAACTGTCAAGTTCTTAAATGTTTCTGTCTGGTCTATGTTTTATCTATGCATGTTAATCCATTCTATCAGCAGTTTAATTGGCTTTGAAGAAGCCTTAATATTGTGGGAAACAGTGTTGGAACAACTGTATTAACTTGAAACACAAGGATCAAAAGCCATTTAGGAAAGTCACTTGATGGGCAAAATTAGTTTCTTACTACAAAAGCCTTTCCTTTTTAACGATGTTGTTTCTGCCTTTTGTGTGATTATTCAACACTTAGGATATTATTTTTATTCTGATAGGTTATTTGATTCATATCTTTCTGAATCCTATTGGTTTCCAGCTCAGGCTCCTCCTGTTGTGGTATGACTGGAATCCATTCTTCATGAATAAATCTGTCCCCCTGTGTCTTTTTGGATTTTCATCAGTTAGAGGTTGGTCTAGGGAGTACAATAGAATGCACTGGTGAATGAATGCTATAAACTCCTCTATGTATTGCATCCTCTGAGTATATGAGTTAGAATGAAGTCTTTGGCAAGTTGAAGTTCTAGCAGAATCTGCATTTGGTAGTAGAGATGGTTGCTCAGTTTCTCTCATTTTTGGCTAGCAGGTTGTTCTGCCAGCAAGAGATTGTCAGTCTCTGAATTCTAAGAAGGAGAGTTCCAATTTTTCTGGGTTCATAGAATATTTTAGTTCAGATGAGATTTCTCAAGATTTACTGGCCTTGTCAAACTCTACCACTTTGTGCTACAAAAATGTGGTTTCTCAATTTCAGCCACAGATTAATCAGAAATTATGTTTTGGGTTTTTTTCAAAAAGTTCATTTTATGTTCTACCTTCTGGTTTTGTTTGCTTGGTTGGTTTTGGTTTATTACTTACTTACAAAATCTCTGCTTCTTTCGTGTGGGAACATGCTGAAGAGAGTTCTTAAGTGACAGCTCAAGAGCTTTTCAGACTCAGCTGATTGGCTCTTCTTTCCCACAAGAGGGAGCTCGATGGTCACTGTAGTACCAGTTGCGATTCGACTGAGAAGGGCTTTGCAATCTCTCGAAAGCCGGCAGAGGGTATGTGCTGGACACTCTGCCTGTGGTTTAGGCTCTTCATCACAGGATTCTGTCTCACAGATACGTGTTTACTACCATAGTCTCAATGAAATTTTGCCTCCTATTAAAATAATACTCTGTTGAATGCATGAAGTATAAGCAAAAATTCAGAGAGCTCTTTGATTCCCATTGGAATTTCTGATGTTGTAGTATCTCAACAGATAAAGAGGGTGCAGCTGTTTAATAATATGATTCACTAAGAATTAAGTGTGTGCACACAAAAATCTCTCATCTGGCCCACCAGAATTCTTATTCCCTCCAGAAAGGGCTCAAATGTCAGAATAGTGAACCCAAATTGAAAAAAACTCTATAGACATGAAAAATCACAACTGAGAGACTTCAGTAAAAGTGAGGTATAAATTCAGAACATAGCCCTGTGATGATGCGATTTATTTGTCCTTAAGTACAGTACAATCTTAAACTTCATATTGCTGGAAATACTTTGCATGTCAGAATTTGGGTGTTCAAACTGGCAAACAAATGAGACAATATCAGCGGTGAAAAGCCAATTGGCTTTTTTTATTTCTGTGAAAAACTGAGTTTTCTTGAGAGATTTGTAGAGGTATTTACTGAACATACAGATTATGTTATGAATTAGATTATAACCTGTTTTCCATATAGGTCAGCCAATGCCTCTTATGTGTTAAAAGCTGAAGAATCAAGTGCAGGAAAAGAGGTTAAAGCCAGAAATCAAAACCCAAGAGGGATGAACCTCAGATGA